CAATATTTAAAATTTTATTAAAAAAATTTATATTTTAAAAAATTTTGCAGGCAAATTTGGCTGCAAAACAATTTAAGAGATAGCATTCTGGTGGCTCTGTATCTAACTCACATAATTCACATATACAATATTAATTATTTAATATGGTACTTAAAATAATTCTTATATTAATTTTTAACTATATAACAAAAATAGAAACATGTGCTGATGCAGTATAATACAATATTTATAAATCAAAAATATTTTGCTGTTTTACTAGTTTTTTTTGGTGATAGACTTTCAGTGTTAGAAATAAATGAATCTCTATAATTGTTAAATTGAAATAGTATATGTTATTGTAAAGAATGCAAACAATATAATATTTTATTGTTTTGTCTGTTTGTCTTCGTTATTATATTCATTATATACATTTTAATCTGAGATATAAATTAGACTTCTCTAGAACATGATGTGAAACAAATACTGTATAAATAGCTGTGCCACAAACAAGTCAGACGTGTTGAAAATCAAACTTTTAAATTACTGATAGGTACCATATCACAAAAAGCAGTCTATAGTAATGCATAGTATGATCATTCATATTAAATCTCACTTTCTGTCCATCAGCATCAACCATTCAGAATCATGATAGGTATATTGTAAGGATCATGATCCGAATAATCTTTATCCTCAATCTGAAATATATTATGAATCTATCTGTTTAAAATTGATAGATAAGGATATTCACATTTAATTTGAATTATTGGATCAATCTGAATTAGTCTGATTGCAGATCGAAGCACTAGTGATGAGTAGTGCTGCGCGCTACCCATCTTAATTGTTTTTTATGTTTATATTATCTTATTTATTATTTAGGTTTAATTAGTTTTTTGTGGCTTGATATAATTTAAAAGATTATTATTGTGGTTGTTATTTTTTGGTGTTCATATGGGCGAATATGCAGAATCATGTGGGAACATGCAACTGTGGACGCAGTACCCCAAAAATTTTTATAGAAGATTCAGGTCATTTGAAATTATGCTTGTTATAAAAAATTTATATGCTGTGCCAAAATGTATAAATGCTCATTTACCGTTACTATTTTTTTTATCTACATGTTGACAAATTTACAATAGCTAACTCAGTGACATGAATCTTTTGCACCTATAGTTTTGACCTCGCTTATCCCGACTTCAGGTATTTACTAAAGTTAGTCATAAAAAAATAATTTAGAGTCTGCATTTTTAATTGATTTAACCATTCTTCTACTTGGTGTTAGTCATATTATTTCAAAGAATAATACTCATGGAAGGACAAGTGGAAAGCAACAAAATGCGATAGTAATTTAATATATTTTTTTTGTTAGTTGTTTATTATTCAACAAGTTGATGATGGATTTTTAGTAACTTGGTTTGTAATTATCAATATTTATAGATAATTTTTTTATATGATAATATTTAAGTTCTTTATAAAAGACTTAAGGTGTTTACATTGTGCATAGGAATTGCTTTTGTCATTCTAAGCTTTTAACATATTCTTTACTCTTTTTTCAATTCATCGGATTGATCAACACCTTCGTTATTACATGGACAAACCGTTCGGATGAAATCCTGAAAATTTCAAGAGGAACAAAATCCAAGTATTAAATACTACATGTAAGTTAGTTTATATTTAATTAATACTATTATAACTGAATCTTTTATATCAAGATTATTAAAAAAGGAAGCAAGGGTATTATGCTAAGAGGGTAATATTATTTTACAAAACACAGTATTCTTTACAATAATATTAAATTTAAGTTTATTTGATTTTCCCAATAATCTATAATCTCAGTTGTCTCTGGTTCTGTAATTTCAATTACCCCTGGTTCTATAATATCAGGTATCTTTGGCATCTGGTCTCATTTAAAAAGTGATACCAAACCTTTTTCAAATTCTGTTTCTTCAAAAAATTCATTGGATACCACTTTCTCTTCTTCTATATTTCGTCTATTTTAAATATTGGGTTGTTGCCTATATTAAATATTGAGTTGTTTATATTGAATAATCTTAGATTATTGTTTATATTGAATATTGGGTCGTTTAAGTGTTTTTTTCTTTGGATTGTAATATCTAGATGGCATTTCAACCAAATATAAGTTATTAAAAAAAAATACTTTGAGTGAATATTGCAAAGATACTGTATGGTTAATCAACAAATCTAGATTTATATAAAGATACTGGCCTTAATAAAATTGATTGTTATTGTATATATTATCAATTTATGCGAATACGCGATTTGTTAATAAATTTTCTTTCATTTATAAAAATAATCACTTACCACCAATTATTCTAATTATATTTGGGTCCTTCCATATTAAATCAGGGCTTAGAAATGATTTTTTGATTTATAAATATCAACAGTTAATCAAATTTTGATTGTTGAGATAAATTTATATGTAATATAGTTTAGTGCAAATACACATACATTATACTGATATGCATTGTTGATATAATTTTAACCTTATTAGCAATAGTAGTGATTTAAAGCATTCTAATATTAACAGTAGTCAAATTAAAACAGAGAATCAGCATATGTAAAATTACTGCATACCAAATTATAGTATATCAATCTACGCTAAAATTTTTACTAGGAATAATTCACATACCTGTGAATACTATTCAATAAAAATCTTAATTTTGTCTCTAAGCCCTGATTTGTTATAGAAGGACCCATTTGTGATTAGAGTATCTCAGAAATTTTTTATTGCTTAATAAAAACTTCTGAAATTGTATAAATCTGAACACTTGTCTATAGCGAAATATTTTTGTGCATACAAAAGAAATTTTATCAAAATGGTTAATAACGATTCAAAAGATCATGATTTATATACATACGTATATGCCATATTAGATTTTAAAATAAATGTTCAAATTTAGAATATTTATGTAATAACAATTAAGTTGAGTATGCTTTTTGTTTTAATTCTCTTTTTGATTGAGCAATGGTATAAATTTCCTTTTTGAATTTAATTATAACTTATTTTGCTGCTTTCTGTAGTATTGCATAAAGCAGACAATTATATGTAAGATTTACAGGTTCAACGCTAAAAAATTTAGTAATCTAATTCAAAAAAGTTATTTTACAATTATACTTAAGTCTGAAGACTCTAGATTGTGATGAAATGTCTTTTGTTCGAGATATTTCTTTCTTTTGTTGAGAATAACTTACTAGGGTAACAAGAAAATATGATAATAAGTGGCACTATGAACAATAGTGATCATGATTTAAAAGACATGCATCTCAACATAGTAGAATCAAATTGGTTAGAGAGATAACTAACTGCTAATTAACAGTTAACGTACTGTACGTACGTCATTATGAATGATTATAATTATACGAATACCATATTTGATTTTGGTATAAAATGTCTAATGCTAATTTAGAATAAAGACAATGTAGATAATAAAATTAGCAATAGCGCTAACTGTAAAGCATTTCTGAGGCATACAGTTATTGAGTTGATATTGATGTTGGATTGATCGATTAAACATGATACATATATTGTAATAGTCTCTCACGTTCAACATCTTAATATTCATTTGTGTTTGTTTTCTAATTTATCATGCTAATGTGATTTTAATTTTTACCATTAGTGCTTTTGTTTGGTGATTTATTGTACTGCAATAATTGCGCTTATAATTAATATATCATGCCGAGAATGATTGTGTTTATAATTAATTTATCATGCTAAAATGATCGTGCCTATAATTAAAATATAAACCTTAAATATGGTACTTTTTGAATAAAATCTTCTACAAAAAATAGTTTTTTTAAAAACTTTACCACTTAATCAACAGTCATGTCAAACTGCTTAAATCATCCAAATAAAACTGAATTAGAAACTTCTGAGCTAGGAGATTATCCCAAAAACCCACAATTACTTATAAAGAAAAAAAAAATAATATAGCACAATGGTCATTTAAATATTTTATAAAGGCAGAAGGGTTTTATCCAGATGCTTCTCAACTTCACTATACATTGTCTTCTAAAAAGTATCCAATCCCTGATAATTATTCTGTGAAAACCAGCTGGGGATGTGGTAAAAATCAGCAAACCATTTAGTGTAAAATAGTATATAAAAATGGAAGCCCAGAATTTCAAATTCGATTTGGTGACTTTTTTGAATATAAAGTCAAATCATGTATATCTGCTTCCATGGCTGCAACAAATTATAGAAAGGCTATAAATAAAACAAGTCGATTATCTGGACTATTGTTGTTTGGATTACAGCTCCAGACACTTAGAGAATCTCAAAATAGGCAATATTTAATTAATTCTACAAATCTTGATAAGTGTACGAGACAAGATTTAATTAAACCTGCAGGTCATTGTTCTGAATCAGCATTTGATAAGCATGCAAAAAATGTTGTAGCAATGATTAAAGAAAAGTTTATTCAAAATTCTGTGTTTAAATATTATGAAAAAGACTCTATTTTATTAAAGTTGCTTGAATATACTGTTAACAGCCAAAATTATTATCTTAGCTTTGGAACAGATAATGCACAAAAAGAGTGTGATATTTTAAATATAGTTAAAATAATGGATTTGAATTATATTTCTCGCGATGCTTATCGAAGTTTAGCTGCAATAGATTATCACTTACCACATGAACACCTTGTTGTAATTGAACGAAATAATTTAACCCAAAGAATGACTAAAGATATTCTAATTAAACTTGTCGATATGAATAGAATATAGATAGCTTGGAAATTGTTGAAGATGATGGTGAAGACATTGAAGAAGATGTTGAAGAAAGGTCTAATAATATAGATTTTAATAAAGTTCTAAACTTAGTGGGTGCTGGTGGATATCGTAATTGTAAAAGAATTCTTCGATATCTAATTCTTTATTTAGTATATGAAGATATATTATCAATTAATAATCTGATAATCTATTTGCGAATTTCTGGTAATGGCCGAAATGTAGGTCAGAAAGTTAAACATGTTATGGTCACCTTCATGATTTTTAATGATCAAGAGCACTATCATATGCCTAGTTATTACCATACTATCGCGTTATATCCAGGAATTGAAAAATATAAATCACTTGAGGTCATATTAAATCCATTTCTCAATAATCTTAGAGATCTTAAGATTAACGGGTTGGAGGTTGAAGGTACTCTTTGGCACTTTGAACTGTATTTTAGTAGTGATTGGAAATTCCTCTCAATCTGTCTTGGACTAAATGCGGCCAATTCAAATCATTTTTGCGCTTGGTGTCTTTGTTCCAAGCATGAAATTGGTGATATAACACGGGACTGGTGTATTACAAAGTCAATGAGTGATTTAAAAAATAACAACTACATTAATATATCTGATCATATCAAACCACCACTATTTGATATGATTCCTTTGTCCAACTATGTATTTGATGAGCTGCATGCATTATTACGGGTTGAAGATCGGCTCTGGACCTTAATGTTGTCAGAAATTAAAGAACAGGATTTATTTAATAATATCAGCCGCCAAATTATCGTAGATGAAATGGATCGTCTTGGTATCAAATTTCAGTTTTGGGAAGAGTCTACCAAGTGGAAATACACATCACTATCTGGCGATGATAAAATTAAAGTATTAAAATATTTTAATTTATCTACTCTTTTTCGCCCAAGCCGAGCCCAACTAATTCGGTCTTTGTGGGACAAATTTATTGAACTATATAAGGCAATATGTAATCAAAATAGTGACCCTTTATATTTAAAGCATCTGGCATTAGAATGGTTAAAACTTTTTCTAAAACCTGATGAAAGAGATCCAAAAAATCCACAAAATATCATCAAAGGCCTCTATTTACCAAATCATGTAACTCCCTATATTCATTTTTTAGTGTTTCATGGATGGGAGTTACATCAAAACCATAAACGATGGGGTTAAAAGCATTTTCTTGTAGCGCAGTTGAAAAAAAAAATCATATGCAAGTATCTTTTTTTTTCGAAAAACTACTATGAATGGCAGAATTCTTCTTAAAAATAATGCAGCTACAATTAAAATTTTAGAATATGAATTACGGAATCTTTTTTTTATTTATAATAACCCTCCTAGACAAAAAGTTAAAAAACTTTGTATTAAATAATATATATAATATATAAGTTGTAATATATATAATATATGTTGTGTAACATAATTACATTATTTTACCGTTTGATCAGCGTGTGAAATTCAATTTATGAAAAAAATTTTTCAGAATATTGAGAACATTGAATTTCGCACAATAATATTTACTAAAAAACAATTTACTATAAAATATGTAGTACGTAGCAAATATGCTTTAAAATCTTTAATAAAAGGAAGGTAGAGCGTTTGGCCCGAATCTTTGACCTTTATCATATTTAAATAAGGATTCTTGATCAGTATTGTTGACTAGAAGCCTCGCTAGAACTCTACTGGAAGAAAATTGATAATACCACTAAAACTTTTACTATTGTGAATTTCTACTGAAAGATTAAAAATTCCCACTAAAAGCAAAATTTAACAATACTGATCTTGATTTTGAACGCTATATCAAATATACAAGCCCCAACAGCTAAGTATTAGATTTTGATTTTATATTGTTATTTGCTTCAGCTTACTAACACCTCTGTATTTTTCTAAGTAAAAGTAGTGGGTCATGCAATTAGTGATTCACGGACTAAATTCAAAAGAGTATTCATATCATGTAATTGGATTAATTTAACTTAAGTTATTTGAGCCACAATTTAAATTTGTAGTTATTACAAATATAATTCACACTAGTAAAAAATAAAAAATTTGATGTGTTGAATGGCACTATTCGAATGGCATTCGAATAGTGCTATTTGACACATCAAATTTTTTATTTTTTACCAGTGCCAGAACTAGTTGAACTCAGTTTGGAACTGTCAATTTTGATAGCTCACATCTAATGTAATTATAATTCATTTACGAATTAGTTATTTGAATTATTAGTTGGCGAATTTAATCATTAATACCAGGTCTTTCTTCATTTACAATAGGTTAAGTTAAAAAGTTATAGCTGCATATAGTTATTGGTGAATCACGGAATTAGTAATTTTCTAGGATATATATTTTTTGATAAAGTGCATTTTTTAATAGAGGTGTTTACTATAATTTATTTGAGTTAATAAATATTTTCACTATGCTATTATACTAATTTCATTCGATTAGTAGGTGAAAATGAACATTTATCTAACAAAGTATTTGGAATAACTCTCGAAGTCTCTGGATATTACTATACTCTCCGAAGTATGATTCTTCAGTTTAGTTAAATGTGTACTATGAAAGTTGCCATTACATTATACTGTTGAACCTTCCAAAATCGATATGCACGGTGGACAGATTTTGTATCAATATTGAGAGGTTATCAGATTTGAAAACTATTAGATTTATATAACAGAAACGGACTTGGTAAGGCTAATTTTTTATCAGATTTGACAGGTTATCGATTTTGAGAGGATCAATTTTGGGAGGGTTAACAGTATCTTATTTTTGTTCACGTTAATTAGCAGGTAGATATAAAAGAATATCAATTAATTGGAATATTTGACATAAGCTATACAAGTTCGTCACACTATTTCTACCTTTTTTTATTACTTTAATTCATGGATGGTTATTATTTTTAATTCTACTTTATTCGCCTTAATCCTAGAATGTAGTAAGTTATTCATATTTGTATTTTTATATGATGTATATTTAAGTTCATTAAATTGAGTGAATAAATAAAAAAAAAAGGTTTAATTCTGTAATTAATAAAGTCAGGAAATCAGTATAATCTAATAAAATTTACGGAGATTTTACTATTTGAATCTTTTTAATTCTATTTTATTTGTTTTGATTTAATTAGAATAAAAATCATTAATTAACGGATCTAATAATAATAAGCCATTCAAGTTTGTAGCATTATCTCGAAAAGCATAGCTTTGACTAGTCATGTGATTGGAAGAATGCCGGCAAGCCAAAGGTGCCAGAAATAAATTCAATTAAAGGACTTAGCAGAGTAATTGGACTGAAACAATGATATGCTTCCAGGAAAATTAGCATGAGATTGTGTCGAGTATTATCGTAACAATAGAATGAGTAAGAACAGCATCAGTCGGTTGTTTCCCGCTTGCTCGAAGCAGGTTGGCTGTTAAAAGAAAAACGGCAGAATCAGGAACTGTGTTCCAAATAAGCGGGCATTATTTCGTATATTTCATGCTAAACTAAACTGTTATAGTATTCATTTACTTACAAGGCTTTAAAATTTTGGCATACAAACATGAAAGAAAAAACACTGTTCAAAAATTAAGAAAATTTATTTTTATCTTAGGAATATCATACTACGTATTTGTTAACTAAATACCCAGAATTAAATCAAGACAAAAAAGAAACACTAGAACAGAATGAAAATATTATCAATTTAATTCAACACAAATCACTTATTTTATCATTCTAATTTGACACAATATTTACGATTACCTATACGGAAAGCACACATCTTTGCGATATATAATAAGATAAGTATATAAATCCTGCAGTACAAGTATGTCCATCTATTTCTTTGACGATTTTTTTTTTCCATTCTACCAGAAGCTCACCCCAAGAAAATTTTGGTTTTTTTTTCTTTTTTTGATTATTTAACTGCTCCAGAGGATCAATATCATCATTATCTTAATTTTTGTTATTGGTATTTGATAATTGTTCAAGAACGATATATGTTTGTTGATTTTGATCGTAACATTTTTGACCCCATTTGGGATTTTCCAAAATTTGTGTCAAAGTTGAATATGCAGACTCACCATGAAATCTACATTTATATACCCGTGGATTATTTGAAAAATGGTGAACATGACCTCTAAAAACAGCAATAAATTGACTTTCGGTACACGGGACTGATAGTACCTTTCTTCCCATTTTAGTAAAATTTAATGGCAATTGGCGATGTATTTGCTGAATTAAAATATTCTTAAACTCATGCAATGTTTTGACTAGAATTTCGTCAATATCACTGCGTGGCATGTTATACTTTTTAATTGTGTTACAATGTTGTTTATAGCCATTTTCTGATTTAAACTTCCGAAAACAAATTGGGCAAGAGATCAAAGAAATAGATATTAAATTTTGTGAAGAAGTAGATGATAGTAAACTCATGATTAAAAGACAACTTCCCTTTTTATTAATGGTTAGCAAAAGTATTCCTTTTATAAAGAGAAAGCTATACAAATTACCCTTTTAAAGATAACAATATACATGATGTCAAACGATATATCCTAGTAGGGCTTATACGTCAAATTATATGTCCTAATAGGGCTTAGACATGTCCTAATAAGGATTAGACATCAAATGAAATGTCCGAGTAGGGCTCTAACCAGTAGGAATGAGATGGGTTTTTGGCTGGGACAGATGGGTTTGACGCATGATTTTGCATAGTCGTTATATCCTTAAAATTATTTAAGGTATAGTTTAAAATTATTAGGGCATAATCGAGTAATTGTTCTGTGTATTTGACCAATTAAATATGATAAAATATAGGGTTCAAATTAAAATTTGGTGTTTCTAACTAAGGCCCAATTCTGCCGATTCGCCCATATGGGTTATACTTCATTATTGCATCTACAAAGTATATAAAAAAAGAGCAATATAAACAAATAGTAAAAAAGTTAGATTAGCACTTGTATACTATCAAAGCTTCTGTAGAGATAAACAAGCTAATATCTCATAATGATAAATTGGAAGGTGTTGAAAACTTCTGAATAAATAGCTATAAAAATTTGGTATATACAAACAATAAATACAATAAACCATTTTTATGCTAATAATGTTTATACATGAATTTTATTGGACAAACTATCTTTTCAAGATTTTCTTTAGTATAAACCTTATACCTATATTGTGTTTTCTATTCTTGTTTATATGAATTCAAGTATATCTGTAATATATGTAACATAACTAATATATCTGGGTGATATTTTGGATGAACTTAAAGATGTTTTTAAATAAAAAAAAAATCAGAGTTTTGTGTAATAAGCATTGACTAAGTTTGGAGTTTTTATTTTATTAAAATTTCTATTTTTTGTATACTTATAAACATTTAGCGAACAAGTGAAAGTATAAGCATTTTTACAAACATGAATTAAAATATATTACTATTTTTTTGAAATTCAAAATAATATTAATTAAAAATATATTAAAAAAATTCTTTTTTTAACAAAAAAAAAACTTACTTGTAAATCAAAACTATTTAAATTTTCTTATAGATTTACAATTGTTATTATAAAATTTGTTAATATGGGGGGAGTCAATAGAAAAGGGATAAATTTTTTCTAAGTAAAAGTTTTCTTAACTTTAAGCTTAAATATCTTAGCAATTATTTTATTAAATTTAATAAATTTTTTTTTATTTTAATTCTATATAATTTC